CCAGTTCTACGCAGATTCGGAATAAGAACCTCTTTGCTCTCTGTTTTCGTTTATTCTCATTTAAATTCTAAGTATTTTCGTCATCTTATTTTCGTTGTGCGGTTCTCGCAGATAGCCGGTTCCTCTGGAAACTTAGGGTTTTCCCGAAGTTTTCTTTTTTACGATTTATTTGACAGTAGGGTGAAATCGACTCCCACAGAAGCCAAGGAATTGTCCCGAGAGTTTTCTGAGGAGGAAAATAGGAGAATCTCTCAAGGGATGGAGTTGCGTGACCTATAGGCCAAGATCAAGGCGATTGAAGGGGCAGTGGACACCTCTTCCTCGGAAGCTTTAGAGCTAGGCCGCAGGAATCAAGAGCTGGAAGAGGCTTTGGAGAAGCTAAGAATCGAGATAAAGGCCTCAGAGGACGTGAAACTGATGGCCGTGAATGGGGCAAAATCACCTCCCGATGGGATGTGATGCGAGATTGGCTTGATGGGCGGACCCATGTTCTTGCCGAGGCCAAGTTTAGAGGTGCGGATCCTCTTTCTTTCGCCGATGAACCAGCCATTCCTCTGTCCTCCGGCTCTGGCAGATCATGAATTTAAAATTTTGCCTATCTTTACTTTGTTGTTTTACTTGTCTGAACTTCTTCGAGTCTTGATTTATGTTGCTTTTTATCAACAAAGTTTCTTTTCATGCGTGTGTTTGCCCGAGTAAGATCTTGTTGGCTTGTCTAGTATTCTGGGGACGAACTGTCAGAATCGTATTTTCCTCTGCCTAATCCTTGGGGATCTTAGGATCTTTGGTGGACTCTTGTATTCTGAGATCTCTGGTTGGGCCCTGCATTCTTTCACTCGGATGTGCAGATAAAAGGGTTCCTCGGGGAAGTAGGAACTCGTAGTTCTGATTTGACGGGCTCGTCGTCTTGGCCTGGAGATTCTGATTGAGCTTAGGGGCTCAGTGCTCCAGCCCGAGAATAATTTGGACCCGAAGGTCTATGGCTGGGCCCGAGGGCTGGAAGTGTAAAATTCGGAATTTCGAACACTGGAACTTGGAAGCTCATTCTTTAACCCTGAGGTTAAGTACTGGACTGTAAAAGTTTAAGTCAGTTGCTTGGGACCCTGGGGTCTGTCCTATAATACTAGGAAGGTTTTTCAGAACCCTGAGGTTTTCTGAGTAACTCTAAGGTGCTTGACCTGGACCCGCAGATAAGAGATGTAAAATTCGGGACTTTTAACATCGGGGGACCTTGGGGTCGGACCCCGAGGTCGTTATTTTGAAATCGTATTCTGCCTCCCTTGGGTAGGCCACTACCGATCTCAAGTGAGAATGTAAAATTCGGGATTTTGAACATTCAGGGTCTGTAGGCTTGTTGGATCGTATTCTGCCCCCTTAGGTGGGCCACTACCGATCTTATGTAAAAATGTAAAATTTGGAATTTTGAACATTTGGGGCACGGAGGCCTGTTGTCATCGAATCGTATTCTGCCCCCCTTAGGTGGGCCACTACCATTCTCGGGTAAGGATTCGCATTCTGCCACTTGGGCCACTATCGAGATCCTGTAATGCTGCACTCAGTCTTATATGTTTGTGCTGGGGTGGGTCTACTGGATAGTAGTGAGCCACATACCAGACTTGCTGCTTTCCATGTCTGGACAAGCAAGATAGAAGTGCTCTCGGGGTTTTGTGCACCGTCTGCTCCCTGAGACCATGGGGCTGATCTTAGTACTCTGCAGTTATACGTCATGCCCCCTTGCATCTCGTGTAGCTCGTGGCGTGTTTGATGCAGGCATTGAGGCACTAGTACGTGAGTCCCCCTTGTAGATTTTGGCTCAAGGCCTCTACGCAAGGGATGCAGGGATTGAGGCACTAGTATGTGAAACATGTCACGTAGATACGAGGACCGAGGTGCCCCTTGGGGCCTGGTCCTGCTTGGCGGTTTTGTATGTGAAACATGTCAAGTAGATGTAGGGGTCGCCATGATCGAGGTCCCCCTTGGGGCCCGACCCAGCTAGTATGCCTCTTTTAAGTTCAGTGGAGTTCCTGTGGCTCCTTTAGTCGGAACTAAATTATGTTATATAAGCTTAGTCCGTAGACATTTTTAGCATACATAAGAGCAGGAAACCACTTTACTTAAAATATATAGATAGCTAGGTATCTGAAGAAAACCCGTTCCGGAGATCTAATTAGAAGTGATAGAACTTGAGGTGTAGGGCGTTCCAGAAGTTAGGTTGGACCTTTCCTTTGCTGTCTTGCAGCTTGTAGGCTCCTGCTCCCTGCACTCCTATTATTTTGTAGGGGCCTTCCCAACCTGGGGACAGCTTCCCCGCAGATTTATCTTTGGTATGGTCGCAGATTCGTTGTAGGACCCAGTCTCCTTGCTGGAAGGTTCTGGTCCTGACTTTCTTATTGTAGCACCTGGACACTTTCTGTTGATAGGAAATGTTCCTTACGCGAGCAGCCTCTCTTTCTTCGTTGAGTAGATCCAGGCTAAGGGTCAACAATACGTTGTTTTCCTCCTGTGAGATGGGTCCAGAGACAATCGTTCTGACGTGTACCTCAGTGGGTATCACGGATTCCATGCCGTAGACTAGTGAAAATGGAGTCTCTTGTGTGGCTGTTTTTGGAGTGGTCCGATAAGCCCAGAGGACTCCAAGTAACTCTTCTGCCCAGCGCCTGTGGGCTTTCTCCAGGCGTTTCTTAATAATGTTGACCACAGTTTTGTTTGTAGATTCGGCCTGGCCGTTTGATTGCGGATGCCGCGGTGCGGAGAAGGAGAGCTTGATGTTCCACTCTTGGCAGAATTCTCTCAAGTCATGGCTTGTGAACTGGGGCCCGTTGTCTGTGACAATCTCTTGGGGCATGCCGAAGTGGGTTATCACGTTTGTCCATATGAACTTCTTTATTTTCTCCGTAGTAATCGTGGCTAGGGCCTCGGCCTCTACCCATTTTGTAAAGTTGTCAGTTATTACGAGGAGGAATACCTTTTGCCCCGGTGCCATTGGGAATTTTCCGACGATGTCCATGCCCCATTTTCGGAGCGTGCCTCTGACATTGATCGCAGGACTTAGCTTTTTTGAGGCCGTCGCTGGCCATCGTGGGCCAGTAATAGCTGGCTCTTCTGGCTCTGAGCACTAGGCTTCGGCCGCTGGAGTGAGAGCCACATTCTTCTTCGTGGAGCTCTTCTAGGATTCGGGCTGCTTCCCTAGGGGTGAGACATCGCAGGTATGGTCCTGAAAAGGACCTTCTATATAATTTTCCTTCGCTGATGCAGTATCTTGCTGCTTGCCTTTTGATTTTTCGGCTTTCACTTCGATCCTCGGGGAGGAGGTCGCGTACCAGGTAGTCGATTTTAGGGGTCATCCATGCTTCTCCCTCGTCGATGACAGAGACTTCTTCGGGGTCCCCTTCTCGGTCGGTAGCCGGTCACTGGAGTACCAGTAGGGGAACATTCATCTGACTAGTGGATTCTCGGGCGGACCCTAGTTTAGCCAGGGCATCGGCCTGCGAGTTTTGTTCTTGGGGAACTTGGGTAAGCTTGCAGCTCCGGAATCTTTCGATCAGACGCTTTGCTATGGCGAGGTATCTGATCATACTGGCGTCTTTGGCTTGATAGTCACCTTGGGCCTGGCTTATGATTAGTTGGGAGTCGCTGAAGACCTGGATCTCCTCTGCTCCCATCTGCTTAGCAAGTGAGAGGCCCACAATTAGGGCCTCATACTCTGCTGCATTATTTGTAGCTTTGAAGTTGCATCTTATCGCTCTTGATTCTGATTCCCCGGTGGGGGAGGTTAGGATCAGGCCTACTCCTGCCCCTTTCACGTTGCTGGACCCATCGACGAGTAGGGTCCATTATCCCGTTCCTCCGGCTGGGCCCTGGAAATCAACTTCTCACCATCCTTGCTTCCGATCCTGGAGTCAGAAGTTAGGCCTCATGTTGCCTACTCCTTGCTTCTGACCCCGAATGAACACTTTGAAGGGTTAAGCTTCATGTTGCCTACTCCTTGCTTCTGACCCCGAATGAACACTTTGAAGGGTTAAGCTTCATGTTGTATTTCCTGAGGGTGACGAAGGCTTGTTGTAGATGGGAGATGTGGTCTTCTGCCTCGAGAGACTTGGCCAGCATATCATCTATGTAGACTTCCATGGTTTGTCCGATTTGTTCGGCAAACATCATGTTTACGAGTCTGTGGTATGTAGATCCTGCATTTTTCAGGCTGAAAGGCATGACCATGTAGCAGTAGATGCCCCTTAAGGTCATGAAGGAGGTGTTTTCCTGGTCGTCTGGGTGCATGAAGATTTGGTTGTAGCCTGAGAAGGCATCCATGAAACTCATGAGCTGGTGGCCTGCAGTGGCATCGATGAGCTTGTCGATATAAGGTAGGGGGAAAAGATCATTGGGGCATGATTTGTTGAGGTCGGTGAAATCTATGCAGACCCTCCATTTCCAATTCTTTTTCCTGACCACGACAACGTTAGCTAGCAATTCAGGGTACTGGACTTCTCTTACGAATCCAGCGTCGGGTCTACAGTAACCAAACAAACACTAAGTCGAACCCGGAACCTAACCCGGGATTAGATCTCAGTGTTAGAAACCTGCAAAAAAAATCAAGCACCAATAACACAATAATAAGATAATAACTAACTACGACTCGATCTAACTCGTAACACCGTATATCAGTGTTACACTTACTCTAGGGTTCCATAACCCTATACTCGACACAACACTCTAACTCAACATGACACTCTAACATGGGACCTGGTGACTTCATGTTCCTCCTCAACATCAGCAACATCCTAACTCCCTACTACAAAGGCCGGAAGAAGGAACTTTCAACTGACCCCGGCCCACAGTCATTCGGGTCACCGCGCGACAGCCCACAGTCCATCGGGTCACTGCCACATTACACCGTCGTGTAATCACTCAGCCATAAGCCATGACCTCGTTCCTCTGAGTCTTCCCGATCCAGCGAATAAGGGGTTTCCTTGAACCCGCTGGGTACGAGGCTGAGTAAACACTAATCACCCCTAAACATGCCTACCATGGGCGGGTTACACACATGCTGTCGGACATAGATTCCAGAACCTAACTATCCAAAACCTAGCGATATTATCTAAACTCAACCTTATTCCAAAACTTAGCCTAAGGACATAGATTCCAGAACCTAACTATCCACAACCTAGCGATATTATCTAGACTCAACACTTAGCAATAGTACCAGTAGTCCGGCCTATATGGCCTAAGACACTTAGTACTAACATCTAAACAAGTAAATAGCAATACTTAATAAATAACAACTCAACTGGTTAGTCACTCCCTTACCAAGAGCTGACTAACCTCAATCAACAAGCATTATATAAACAAGCAATCACTCAATCAAACCGTTACCAAGATAGTTCAGCCTCCTGCTATGAAACTATCCTTAGATAACGGGAACCTGCAGTCAACCATATCAACACACAAGAATAGAAAACATG